CAGCGCCCCCTGGCGGGGAAGCGGCCTCGGCACCGGTACCCGCCGTGGGGCTGCCCCGGGACGGAGGAGCGAAGCCCCGGGACACCACTTCGGGAGAGGTGGTTTCTTGAGGATTACAGGCACTTTTCCAGGAACGAATTTTACGGGGACGACCCCCGGGGTAAAGCTGTCCAGGCAGGGTTCCCCCTCGGGCAGACAAAGAGGGTTTGGCAAAAGGTCAGAGCTGGAGCCCGAGGAGGATGAGGAATGTCCCATCGTCAGGCTGTGCCCAGGCGTCAGCCCTCAGGGCTGGTGCAGGGCAACAGACCCGTGGGGATCTGGGGGGCCGGGGGTTTCTCCAGTGCTGCTCCCGCCGGTGCTGCACAGAGGTGTGAGGAGGTGGAGGAGCTTCTCGCAGTGCCGGGCAGAAGATGGCCGGAGGTTGCTACCAACAGCAGGCTGCAGGCCACTGCTGGCCAGCACAGCCAGCTTCTCAGCGGCTCCGAGGGACAGCAGGACCTGCAGAGCAAAGAGAAGGATGGCAGTCACCCGCCAGCCTGGCTCCCTGTCCCCACAGAGGAGCCGAGGTCCCCATGCTGTACCTGCTTTATCCCGGTGTGCTGGCTGAGGGCCCGCAGCGCCACCAGGGCTCCCTCCCGCACACTCTCCCGGAGGTCCCCGCAGGCCACCTCCAGCAGGAGGTGGGGGGCCCTGCTTTCCAGCAGCAGGTCCCCCAGCTCTGCCCAGCGCTGGCCCAGGTTGCCCAGGGCTGAGGCCGCGTTGCAGCGCGTCCTGGCCTGTGCGTCGCTCAGCAGCCGCGTCAGGCTGGGCACGGCCCTGCCTAGGGTCCCAGCGGGGCAGGACTCATGGTAGGCAGCATTGCCCACTGCGAAGCTGGCTGCCCTGCGCACACTCTCCTCCTGGTCTGCCAGGCACCCCATCAGGCTCTCCAGCAAGGCAGGCTGGCTCTGTAGCACCTGGGAAAAGTCATGGCTGTGTCGGAGCAAATTGCCCAGCAGGTTGAAGGTTTTGGCCCTTATTAGGTGTTGCTGGTGGACGAGCAGGTGGGTCAGTGGCTGGTCAGCCACATTGGAGCCCCTCAGGATCCTCTGGAGAAAGGGCAGGTGCTCTGGACAGGCCCGAGCCACGTGGGTCAAGAGAGACAGGAGGTCAGCTGTGAGCGTGAGGCTGTCTGAAAACAAGGCAGATGTCAAGAAGGCAATGACATGCTCCGAGGCAGCAGCTTCCCTCACCATTTGGTGTATGACCTGCTCATCAGACACAACGAGGTGGCACAAGAGGCTCATGGGGAGCTCAGCGTACAAGAAGGGCAGATGGTGAGAGCAGACCTAAGGAGAAAAGAGAGAGAGCAGCGCTGAGTGCGCTGTCCTCACACGTGGACCAAGTCAAGCAGCGACCACAGGCTACGAACAGGTCAAAGTGGAGCTCAGCTGCTGGCCCAGCTGCTCTGAGGGCTGCATGGCACCCAAGTGATGTCCCTGTGTGGGTAGAAATTGCCAGCACGGAGTGAGGTGCTGCCACCCACTGGGTGCTGCAATGTGGGGAGGTGTCTCCACAAGTATGGGGGGTGGGAAGAGAAATGCAGGGCCAAGAGGGTACCTGCAGCAGCTGGGCAGGGATCTGGGCATCTCTAACAGCCTCCATGACCAATGCTAAGGTGTCTCCATCCACATCCAGGGCAAAAGGGAAACAGAGGAGCTGGCAGGTCTGGACCACCACAGCTGGGACAAGCTCAGGGTCCCCATTCTCTCCTGCTTGACTGAATTGTTAGAGGGAGAGGGCGTATTACACGTGCAATCAGAAAAACATCAAGGCAAGAGGCAGAGAGCATCCTGAAGGCACAAAGCAGGTGAGCTGTGCCCTGCAGGTGCCAGGGCAGGAACTTCTCAGCCCTCTGTGTGCTCATGTCCAAGCTCCACTCTGCAGCTGAGCTCTGCCCACTTCAGCCCTCCCCACAACTTACGTCTGTGCCAGGCATGCCAGGAAGTCAGGGGACAGTAGCCTCTTCAGTGTCACCATGAGGACACCGTGAGACTGGGTGAGCTGAGGCAGGCACTGGTGGGACTCATGAGTGAAGACAAATAGGGCCAGGCTGAGGAAGAGCAGGGTGCCTGCAGGGGGAATGGCACAGCAGAGGAGCAAATCTAGGGAAGGCTGAAAAGTCTCCACTCTTCTGCCTGCCTGTACTGCCTCAAGGCTGCTCTGGGGTTGCTTCTGTGCTTCCCCTGCCTGAGACCAGACCAATCTCCACTCATGGTGGTCAGATCTGACAGGGTGAATGTCCCCCTGCAGCAGAAACACCCTTTCTTGTTCCTCCCCAGCCAGCTCAGCTGGGCTGCTGCCAACAGGGCACAGCATGGGCCAGCCCAGCCCTCTCTTTCCCGGAGGACAACAGCAATCCTCAAGAAAAGCCCTGTGAGGCTCCTCTGGGCCTCAGGGACCAGATGCTGATGGGGATAGATGAAGGCAAGTCTGAGAGCAGGATGTGGAGCAGGGTTCACAGCAGATGTCCTGCCATCCTGCAGCTCCTACCCTGAGGGGAGAGGAGGTTCCAGTCTGGCTCTGCCGTGGGGTGGTCTGCCCCTGGAAGGTCTCCTGTTGCCCTGTCACTGCACACACGAAGCACCGCAGCAACACAATGCCACACCACACTCCACAGCTCTGAGGTGGCAAAGCCCTGCTCCACAGCCACATTCTCCTAAAGATGGGGAGAGAGTTGTTGAGGGGCGTACTGGTCCCCCACAGCTTCCCAGTCCCTGCCAGCCCCCTGGTCCTGGGGAGGTGAGGCCTGGACAGACATGGCCCAGGGGGAGGAGAGGGGGCCAGGCAGCTGGCAGCCCTGCTGTGCCTGCTGACACTGCCAATCCCCAGGCATCTCTGTCCTATCTCACTCTGATGTACCCACAAATCATCCCTCCCTGCCCGCCACCCTCCCACCAACCCTCCAGAGCTCCACAGACAACCCAGGGACATTACGTGACTTTCACAGGGTTACACAGCTCAGCCAAAGCTGCCTGGTTCCCTGGTTTGCTTCAGCCTCCATTGACTATCCACATTCAGGCCTTTTTGCCCCCACATCTGTTGGCAGGGACCAGGCAGAGGAATATAGGCAGGCTGGTACCTGAGCAAGGAGCTTCAGCAGGAGGAAAAAGATCCCATCATAGAGACCAGCACCCATGGGCAGGGGGAGCTGCAGCTGTAAGAGAGAGTAGGGGACAGGCTGGAGCTAGGTGCTGCATCTGAGAGCAGCAGCACCACA